CCCCCTTTTTGCCCTCTTTTCCCCTCAATCCAATTAAACAAATATAATGTGCGATTTGGAGTAAGTGACAAAAGCAGCCATATGGACGCGCCGTCTTCTCAAATAATACTAATATACTATATCAGAGTAATTGCATGTACATGTGATGCGGATCCTCCTACTTCGGAGTCCTACACAAATCCATGTTGTATCTTTGTTTTTCTTAATATAAAATCGGCGATTCTATATGTGTATAATGTTACCAAGGCAACGATTTTTACATCATAACTCCCTCCTCTCTTGGCTCTGATTTTCATCTAGTCGCCATGGCCTCTATCCCCCCTTGGTGGTTAGGGAAGATGAGTAAAAGTGGGATTATCTCACTTTATTTGAAAGTTTTATGTTTCAAAGAGATTTTATTACATTTTTGGGAGTTTTTGCCTTTTTTTTTTTTTAACATATCTTATCGAGTTTTGTCTATATGAGTTTTACAGTAAAAAATGTAGGCAACATAGATTAGAGGCTTGATGAGATCAATTTAATTGCAATTTTTTCTTTAATTGTTGGTGACATCATAGACAACAATAATATTACTAAGCAGGGCCTTAAGTTTGAAATGTTATAATTATACTAATACATATGTAAAATTATAAGTTTATAATAATAATGTTACATTAAATGAGTGAATACATATAATATTATGCATGGCCTCCTAAATAAAAATAGTTAATTATAAAATAATATATTATGATTATAAAATTATAATTTTATATGATATTATAATTATATTATTTTCATTTCAACACTTACTAATTTCTACTTGCAATTGATATAAGAAAAATTAAATTATAAAAATTTCAATATAATTTCAATGAGTAATCATAGAGAATGAAAATTTAAGACAAAAATTTAGAATGAAAAATGAGTAATCTACATTTAAGTTGAAAAAACAATAGTAAGAAATAAAATATAAAATTTTAATTAAAAATGAGAATTATTGTGTTGTGATTATGAGAGTGGGACAGTAACACGTGAGGTGAGCATGTCAACTCAGTACACGTGCCTCATCTCTCAAGATTCCATCAGGAATCTTTGTTTCTGTTTTTTTATCGTTGTTTAATTTGGTAGGGTCGGTTATTGTGACTACAATTTGTTAATGCCACACAAGTCAATGCATTTTTGGTTGAGAGTACTATTTTACCCCTTCTACAACTAACAACAAGTCGTTTCTTTTGCGGGCTTTTTCTTTCTTTCCCCTTTTGTTCGACAAACATCAATGCTTCTCCCTCCGCCTGTTCTAACTCTTCAAACTTCCTCTGTTTAAAATTTAAAATAAGTACTCCTGCAGCTCATAAATCGGCTTCGGAGGAGTTGCCAATGGGGAAAAAGAAGAATGGTTTTGAAAGAGGCGCGAAAAAGGTTTTCTAAAATTGGATGCTATTAGTCTTTCGAGTAGCCCTTCTTTCAGAGGAGTCCGTGATATAAGGCTTTATTTATGATGATAAAAAAAAAAAGAACATACAAATCAACTAGGTGAAGATGGGTTTGAAATTTTGATTTGTTAGATTAATAATCAATTGACATTTTGCTTGTTTTAGAATGATCCTAAATTGTTTGGATAGAGTTTAATTTCATTATTCATGTCTCTAAGTATTTTTAGATTTTTATCTTAATTTTATTTATCTCTTTAAATCATTATATAAAAAATTTATGAATAAACCTAAATGTTTAATCTTAAATTAATACTATGATTTTAATGGATTTTAACTGAAATTGATAGTTGAACATCCCAATTTTTTTGTTTTCTTGATTTACTTGATACTGGACTTTTGACAATTGTTTGTTGGTAATAGAAGTTGGAAGGCTAATTGGGGGAGAGAAATTCTGCAAAAAGAAAGGAATTGGTGTTGTTGGTCAAAAAAAGGGCAAAATAGTACCTTCAATAAAAAAGCATTGACTTGTGTGGCATTAACAAGCTACTATGTGGCAATAACCGGCTCCTAGAATTGGGTTTCTTCATAATTAATGCTGAGATTCCCCAACTTCCAGTTTTTGATAGGAGAAAAGTTGGAGGAAGGAAGTGACTTATGGCATATTGGTGGGCGGAGGGGGAGTTTAATTTTGTTTAAATAAAATTTTAAATTTGAGTTTAGTGAATAAAAAAATAAATGTAATAAGGAATTTTTTTTAATAAGATTTAATATGGATTGATTTTAAATTAATTGGGATTAAATATAATTATCAAATATTGAGTGATTAATACCAAAAGAGAGGGAAAGGAAAGGAAATATTTTAACCTAATTAAATTTGATTAGGAATTTTCTCTCCCCTCCTGTCATTTCTCTCACATTAACATACTAATTTTAGATTCAACAACCCAAGAGCAAAGAGGAGAATTTGAAGAAGACATCCCCATGTACGAGAAAAAAACAAAAATATTCAAAAGGAACAATTTCATTTTTAACATAATCATAACAATAAGACTGTTTTGGTTCAATAGAATGACTATTCCAGATAATTTTATCGTCTGAGAAATTAATAAGATGCAAAGGGAGGAACCAAACATTTTTTGAAACTCATGGTTTTAGTTTTGTGGGAACAGAATCTCCAGGAGAGCCTGTTCTGCTTGTTGCATGAGCACCAAATCGGCAATGAGTCCATCGAGTGTTAACCTTTCCAATTCAAGTTCATTTTGCATGTCTTGAGCAGCAGCTTCCATTTCTGTTAGTTCCTCTCTCATGCCGCTAGCTTCTGCCCTCGTTCTCCCGGCCTCTGCCTCGGTCCGGTTAAGGTCCTCCTCCATATTTAGCTGCTCTGTCCCTCTCTCAATTTGGTAGATGCCTTGGACTTCGACTTAATTCAAGGAATCCAAGTCAAACTATATTTATAAGAAGTGACGGTGGACCCCACTAGCACCGAGTATATCGCGCGAACTCACGCCATATCGTTCGATTTCCGGCCTTTTATCGTTCGATTTCCGTCCTTTTATCGTTCGATTCGTTCGATTCGTTCGATTATGGAACTTTTTCCATTGAAAAACCAATCTGTCTGAAAGAGGAGCATCCGCAGCGCCGATCCTTGCAGAGGAGGAGTATCCCGCTAGATTGATAATTAAATTCATATTTAGTGACTAAATTATTGATAATTAAATTTTTATTTTTCGTTACAGATTATTATTAATAATAAAATTTAAATCGTTAGTAAAATTCTTGTCACTAATACTTTTATTGATAAATTAGACACCTATCACAGAAAATAATTTTATAGTGATAGAAAAAATT